TTGGGGTCGTGTTCACGAGTGATGGAAGGATGGAACGGGAGATTGACAGGCAGATTGGTGCAGCTTCTGCAGTAATGCAGTTGATGTACCGGTCCGTCGTGGTGAAGAAGGAGCTGAGCTGTAAGGCGAAGCTCTCAATTTACTGGTCAATCTACGTTCCGATTCTCACCTATGGTCATGAACTTTGGGTCATGACCGAAAGGGCAAGATCCCGGATACAGGCGGCCGAAATGAGCTTTCGCCGCAGGGTGGCCGGGCACACCCTTAGAGATAGGGTGAGGAGCTCGGTCACCCGGGAGGAGCTCAGAGTAGAACCGCTGCTCCTCCACATCGAGAGGAGCCAGCTGAGGTGGCTCGGGCATCTGTTTCGGATGCCTCCTGGATGCCTTCCTAGGGAGGTGTTCTGGGCATGTCCCACCGGGAGGAGGCCCCGGGAAGACCCAGGACACGCTGGAGGGACTATGTCTCTCGGCTGGCCTGGGAACGCCTCAGTATTCCCCGGAGGAGCTGGAGGAAGTGTCTGGAGAAAGGGAAGTCTGGGCATCTTAGCTTAGACTGCTGCCCCCGCGACCCGGTTCCGGATAAGCAGAAGAAGATGAATGGATGGATGATTAGAGCGTGTGGTTATTCAAATGTTAAAATGCATTCATGCCCCTCCCAAAGTAAGCAGAGGAAAATGGATGGATGGTTTCCCTTAAGATCCGTGTCATTACTGTATCTTTCACTGGCTCTTTGATGTCAGCTGTGATGTCACCTGTGAACAGTGGCGTTTCTCGGTCCTCGTTGGCAATATTTGGGTCAGCGCCATGCTTCAGGAGGAAGTTGACACAGAAAGTGTTTCCTCGACTGGCAGCCAGCAACAGAGCAGTCTGATTCTTCAAACTACATCTGTTCACTGAATCGGGATGAGCTGAGAACAAAATATTCAACTGGTTGACTCACATGTCCTGGTTCAAAATGTCATCTGCAGTAAAACATCATAGATGATAAAAGTCTTGGCTTATTTCTAACAACACAGCAGTTCAATCTCAACCCACTGGACATGTTGTTGAACCCATTTAACACAAGCTTCCAGTTTAGGTATGGTTTTAAACAAACCTGGGAAGGAACAGATCTGAACTGAAATAGAAAACATCTGCATTTTGATTAATTTTACTACCAAGTACATATACTGTGCACAACAAACTGGAATTCATTTTTCAGCTGACTGCTGAAAATCTGCATGAGAAACATCTGAAATAATTACTGCTGAAAGAAAAATACTGAAATAAAGTTAAAGTAGCAGTTAAACTGGGGGCTCAAAGACGATTAAACTTAAGTGTAAACATTAGATGAAGTTGAAGATTCGGTTGAATGGCTAAAAGAAGTAAGTAATAAATTCAAGTAAAGGATTAGTTGAAGTGTTGGCTGGAGGGGACACCAGGTCAACTCTCAGTGAAGGGAGAAGAGATGAAAACAGCTTAACTACCACCAAACAGGACTCGAGAAACAAAAAACACCAACATATTAATTAACTCTACATCAACAACAAGGCAATATCAATCATATCTAAAATAGGACTCAATACCTTAATGAATTTGTCAGTACAGTATGTAACATCGGCCATTTAATGATTAGTCTATGAATCTGAACTCTGGGGCCTATGTGTTGTAAATGGCACGTTATGTAATTCAGTGTGGGGCTGTTCATGCTTTTATCTAACAGAGTATAAACAAAATCAAACCTCATCCTTCAGACATCATAGACTAAATCAGCAGCACCACTCACCTCTGATGAGGATCCTGACACATTGTAGCTGCCCATAATAAGCAGCTTCATGAAGAGCAATCCAGCCTTCGTCATTCGGCTCCATCAGGCTGCTGCACCTTCGATTGACCAAATCCATCAAAGCCTCAGCATCACCATTCATAATCAGACGCTGCAAAGGACTGCTCTTTCTAAGTCAAGGACAGAAAAACACTCGCTGTCAACATGAGGAACGTGAACAGCTGGGAAACAATACAAAACAACTAGTAAATATACAAAAACTAAAAACAAACATCTGACTAACATACACAACGTGTTGAAGGACTCTGCAGAAAATTGAAGGCACTGAAGAAGACCCTTGATGGCCACCCGGGGACATCTGAAAAGCTGAAAAACCAGGTTTCGGCCAATGACCTGTTAGATATTAGTAATTGTTAGACCTTAATGTGTTAGTAATGCAATTTAGTAAGATTCAAAGTCTGCTTTAGTCTGTTTTGTTTCAAGGTTAGCAGACAGAATGTTGATTCTGAAAAGTGAACCATGACACTAATTCTTTTCCTGTATTAATCTTGTGTTAGAATATTATGTCTGAATAAATGAATGAATACCTTAGCTACACACCATGTGACAACATACACACACATTGAGATACTCCATTTTGTTATGACTAGGTAGAAACACAGCTGCTCAAAGCCTGTGGAGCTCTAGATAAGAGATGGAGTCTGCGGACTGACTTCATCTGGGTAAGGGGTTAGCCCAGAACTTATAAATGTATTAGGATCTGTGTGGCCAGGGACTCCACTTTCCAGCAGCCAGTGTGTGTGTTTCTGGGAGGGGGGGCAACCCGGGTCGTGTTTGTAATTTTTACTTGTGGTTAAAATAAATCAGCACTAAATGAAGAAAGATGGACTCCTTCATTATTCAGAGCTGTCCAATTAAAGAACTGGGGTATTACAGACCCATCGTCTGTGTGGAGAAACCGGAAAAACATTGCTGGCTATAGGAAACCATCCCCCCACCCCCTCATTGTGGAAGACAAATGGAATGTATTTACTGTAGATTTAAGAAACAGAACTCCGCCCTCACCCACCTCACCTCAGACCCAGCTGCTGCTCCCCCCATAATCACCACCACTGACAGCCCCATGCCGAGACTGTAGCTTTTACACAGAACATAAAAGGGGCTATAGAGATAGAGACTGTGAACCCTGTCTGGGACCACAGGGGCCTGGCTCATCATTAGGATGTGCCTGAGACCAGAGACTTGTAGTGTGGTTGGATACTTGCTTACTGACTAGTTCTTGGCTGCTGTTGTGTACAGTCTTTTAATGTTGGCTGACTGGTTGGTCTGGACTGACTCACCTCTTGAAAGATCTGTAGAGAAACCGAGACAAGGCTGTTGGGGGGTTTGCACAGTTTGGGACATCTGTGGGGTCAGAAGGTGGAGGTTGGGATGAAGGGACGTAGGACAGGTGTCTGGGGGGGTCAGGATTTCTCCATCTGTGGTCTGGTTTTCTTTGGGTTGGGGTAACCGGGTCAGGAGGAGCTGAGGATGGCAATGAAGATGTGCCCTGATCAGAGTATGGAGGAAGGTGTCTGTCAGCGATGCTTCCCCCTACAGTGATCTGTAGCAGCTCTTCATTGGACAGCTGACTGTGGTCATCTACAGATGCCGCCATGTTGGATCTAACAAATGGAGGAAGAACCAGCAGTTGAGAAAAGGGCCACTTATTTTGGTTCAAAGTGCATGACATTCTGGTAAACTGAAAAAAAGTCTGTGTCGCAGTTAGTGGACAGAACAGCTGCTTTCCATGTAAACAACAGCAGCTCAGTCAAATGAACCTCTTTAAACTTTGGCTGAAGCTGCTGGTAAATGTGAGATCAGAGAATGCGACCAGAAGCCATGGAGGTCAGTGGTGTTTCTTTCCTCTGTCCTAAAGCCAAAATATTTCATCAGGCGGACAGCAGATGACCTGCAGAAGCTCTGGAAACCTCAAGCATATCACAGAAACATGCTTTTTTGTTTAAACACGGAGGGTTTTTACATTTCTAATCCATCTCAACACTAACTGAACTAATTCTGACCAAGTGAAAAAACAAGATAAAAACTTGACTTTACTTGATTTTATATATATAGATATATATCTATATATCTATATATAGATATATATAGATAGATAGATGGATATATATATACATTCTTTTATGATAGTGTTCATGTATGGTTAAAAATAAAGCTTTCACATCTATTCCTCTGAAAAACTGACTTTTGGCTGATTGTTTCCTTTGCTGACTGAGATCAACTGCACCAAAGATCAATGGAAAAATTAGATTTCACAAATGCACATGAGCAGGAAGCAGCTGAAACTCTGTCAGGACTTAAAGCAACTGACAAAATAGATTCAGTCATACCTGTGAGACGGTCAGGAGGCCGTGTCCAGCAGAAAACCTCTACTTGTGTCTCACAGCAGCCGCAGGTCCCGAGTCCAGACCAGAGTCCAGTTAAGACTTGGAGCAGAAACAGTGTGATGTTTCACTGCAGCAGAGACTCGTCAAACCACAGAAATCCTGTAGACAGACTCCTGGACGGAACAGGACACTCTGAGACACTGATCCACTGGTTTTATTCTGGTCTAGAATCTTAACTCTATCAATGACTTTCGTCACTTACCGACAGCCGTTTCCATGGAAACCGTTTTAGCTGCTGCAGTATGAGGCGTTGGCCTCGAGCTGCCCGGCCCCTCACTCGGTTCTGGTCCGGTTCAGACCGGTTTCTTGAACCCTATAGCCTGTAGTTTTCCATCAGAGCCATCTGTAAAGACCCAAACAGCAGTCGCCAACCTCCAGTCACATTTCGGATAATTCTGCCGATTCACACCCCACCCAGGTTAAATACCGACTAAAAGACGGACACCGAGTCAAAACGTTCTTTAGGACCATGTGATAAAATGTGGTTTGAGAAAACCCACCGAGAAGATGAACATACAGATTCATTCTTTTAACTTTTCTAATCTTTGACACCGCCTACTGGCTTCAGAAATAACTAGGTTTATTCAAACAAATGCTGCTTTGTGTACTGAGTGTGTACCGATATTACTGATTTCCAAAATGCCACCTTTTTAGGATTTCACTGATCACAATTCTCTTCACAAATGAACACAGGCGCATTATAGCGCTAAAATGAACGCAACTGGCGTGACGTCCCTGTGGCACAGGACAGAACAGATGGGATTTTACGTTTTGGTTAAATGTGTTGTCAGTGTGTTGGGTGTACACCGAAGTGAAGACAAGATCGCGTCTGTTTGGTTTAAATGTCTAAGGGTTCAGGTTTCCCGGTTCTCACTCGTATAAACTAGTAAAGAGAATCTGGAATGGGAGTTCGAAACAGAGTCTGGCTTGACGTTGTCTCCAAAGAGCAGACAGAACATGTGAGAGATTTGATGGACTGACGATCCACGGAAACGATCCCACTGACGTCTTTTAGTCTAGCGCGGCAAAAAGCGGAGAGCATGTAAAAATTCAACGGAGCGTGGTTTGTCGTTTCCTCCGCGTAGGAAGAGTCCGACAGTCATCGACAGCGGGAGTTCTGCGAGATCTGCTGGCTGTTCTCACACTAAAGAACCGAGACACGCTATTCAACAGATGTTCCTCCATGAAGTGACGATTTGACTGGAACAACAGCTGCCGGGACCGAATAGAAGGATAGACAGGGTTCGTTTGTAAAGTGTTCATTTTGCACCTCGGACCGATTGCTTCATTTGCATATGAGCTGATACGCGTTATATTATTAGAATTTTGAACAGAGTCTGGAGTGACGTTCCCACCGCCCCGCACAGATCCAGCAGGA